CTGGCGCGTAAGTGGGTGGTGATCCGGGTGCGCAGTTGTCGATGTGCACCATGCAGTTGATAATGTTTGGTGTTCCTTGTGCAGATGTGGAGAAGCGCCTTGGAGGACTTTCTTGAGTGGAAGCGACTTGTGGATCTACTGGTCGATAAACACGAGGACGTGTGCAGTTGACTTTCGAGTGTCCGGAGGTCTGACAGTTGTGGCAGAACGGCGGCACGAAGGTGAGTCCTCTGTTGTCGCATTGATCTTGCTTGCCGCGTCGATTGTAGTTATTGTCGTTCCTTCGTTGAGTGTAGAAAACTAACTACTGCTGCTTTCTTGGTTGTCTTTCTTCGAACAGGTCCATCTCTTGTTGTTCAGCGTGAAGCTCGGCGCAGAGGTGCATCTCCGAGATTCTTCCGTGGGCGCGAAGAAGCGAGCGTGTGGTTCTCCATTTTGGCCCGAGCCCCGCGAGGACAAGCGTCACGAAGCTCTCTTCAGTGATTGTTCCTCCGCACCGAAGCAGGCGGTTGCGGAGGGTCGGGCAGCGACTCATATACTGCATCGCCTTTTCCCCGTCTTCATCTGTATTGTTGTCAGTTGTTGCATGAGTCTGCTTTGTGTCACGCTGTCGTTTGCTTGATAGAGACACTTGAGATGATGCCATGCGAGTTCCGCGGAGTTTCCGTAGCTCCGATATGTTCTGATGCTCTGCTGTTCTTGTGGTGACAGGTTCCGCAGGAGAACTGTGTACGCCAGCAGCAACTGATAAGTAAATATCTCTTGCTCTTTGCAGTGCCGTTGCTTGGGAATGGCAGGGACCCATTGAAGTATCCCAGGAGATGCGCAGCCTCCATCAGCAGCTCGAACTCGAAGCTCCAGGTAAAAAAGTCATGTCCGTTGAACGGTGAGGATGTCTGTAGCTTGATGACGTGTGAAAATTGCGCCTGGAGACTTAGAATCTCATTTGGTGTCTGTTGTGATGCAGCTGCTGTTGGTTGGGCACGGGGCGGCATGAATTCGAATGTCCCCGGTGACGAGTGGTAAGGCGCAAAGGTAGGGCGCTTGATTGTGTCGCCCGAAAGATGAGTTGTCGAGGCTCATCGCGCTAATCCCATATTTCCTCCGTTGCTCTGTGTTGAATGAGCAGGTGTCCTTGTCTGCTGCTGCTGGTCGAAGTGCGACATGAAGCTGAAGAAACCTTTCCATAAGGTTTGGGTCGACGCTTGAAGACGGTGATGGGGTCACCATTTCCGGTGTTCTTCCTGTTGTCTCTTGAGCAGCGCCGGTCTCGGTCTGCAGTCCTGAAGTGTGCAGTCCAGAGTTGCCGTGTTGAGTATCTTGGGCACTGGGTGAGCCTGTAGAGGTCTTCTTGCCCTTGTTATCCATGACTTGTAATCAATGAAGTCGTTGAATTGCAGATTGTAGATAGAGAGTAGTTGCTGGGAGTTTGGTCTCTGACCAGCTCTCATACCATGTTGGGCTGAGAAAAGCCCTCAGGATCTTTCCAGAGACTAAGTCCCAGTTGTAAAAGACTTGAGTAATGCAACGGAAGTTTGAGTAGTTGAACCCTTGTACTAGTATATGAGAACAAGTGATTGATTAAAGAAACAAGCATACAGCAATATATAGAAAATAGGAAAGTAAAGCACTTGTAGAATACAGTTGCAGGAGCGGTTATCGAGTCGCAGAGCGACTCGATTGTCGCTTCGGTTACCGTCCGTGCAGTTGTAACGGTCAGTCGCAACCTCCAGTTGCGACCCTTCGAGTCCCTTCGCGTTCTTTGTCCGTCCCCTCGTGGAACCTCCGTTGACTCGCGTACCCGTTACGATCTTCCTCAAGTGTAGTGTTACACTTCAGAAACGCTTAAGTCCTTTGAGATATTTCCAACAGTAATGAAGGACCAAATACTGTTTGAAGGCAAGAAAAACGAGCAGGATGTTATGTAAAATTCATACCCAGAAAAGCGGGTACTCTCAAAAATGCGCCATATCATAAGCTATCCCCCGCATATGCCACCCATGGGCTGACTATTTCGGCGGGTCTTATATACGGGGGATTACGGTAGTGCCACCCTGAGCTGCATGCTTCTTACTTAGCACCACCCCTTATCTAGCCTAGGGGGTGTGTCAACCTATACATATTATCTATGTAGAAGTTATAGGCTAGACTAGGTGTGTGCTTCCAGTGAGTACAACCAACTGGTATTTGTTATGTGTTTCCCTTTCTAGTCAATTCATTCATTCTTACGTTAACAACACCAACTACACCCTACACTGGCTTCGGGTTGACCTTTGAGTCCACCCAAAAGGCAGCTCCTATCCACAGTTGTGCCACATCTATTGCACCCTACACTGGCTTCGGCCGGCAGAGCACCTTGCCAACTGTAAGTGTAGAAGTACCGCAATAGAACCCAGGGTTGTAGTAATACATTATATTGTTGGAGCATCGGAAAGCCTTGCACGATACGCCCGCACAAGTATCCCCCGGATCACCGTGTAGTTGCCGTAGACGCAGTAAACATCTCCCACCACCACGGAACTCACACACACCTGGAGGTACGACAATGAGATGAAGGAGAGAGGGGAGGGGAACACAACAAACAGCCACTGAACACCTTGCATGATATGCCACCACAAGTATTCCCCGGGACCACTGTGAGTAGTTGCCGTAGACGCAGTATGTTGCTCCCACAACCACGGAACTCACACACACCTGGAGAACAACAAACAGATGAGGAAGAGAGAGAGAGGAGGGGAGCACAACAAGCAGCCAATGAACACCTTGCACGATACGCCCGTACAAGTATCCCCCCGGGCCACCATATAGTTGCCGTAGACGTAGTACATAGCTCCCGCCACCACACAACTCACACACACTTGGAGACGAAATGAACGAGAAAGGAAACACGGCAGTGAGTGATCGAATGCTGCATTGCAGACTGATGCTGCAACACTGTCAGTCACCACCTGAGAGCCCCGATTCAAGCAACGCAAGAATCTCTTGGGATGGCGAGATTTCGGGCTTCATGGGTGTACGGACTGACTGCAATACTGCAATACTGTACTGTGATACCGCGATACTGCAATACTGTACTGTGATACTGCGATACAGCAATACTGTACTGTGATACTGCGATACTGCAATACTGTACTGTGATACTGTACTGTGATACTGCGATACTGTGATACTGTACTCTGATACTGCGATACTGTACTCTGATACTGCGACACTGCAATACTGTACTCTGATACTGCGATACTGCGATACTGTACTCTGATACTGCGATACTGCAATACTGTATTCTGATACTGCGATACTGCAATACTGTATTCTGATACTGCGATACTGCAATACTGTACTGTGATACTGCGATACTGTGATACTGTACTGTGATACTGCGATACTGCAATACTGTACTGTGATACTGCGATACTGTGATACTGTTCTGTGATACTGTACTGTGATACTGTACTGTGATACTGCGATACTGTGATACTGTACTGTGATACTGCGATACTGTACTATGATACTGTACTGTGATACTGTGATACTGCGGTACTGTGATACTGTACTGTGATACTGCGATACTGCGATACTGTGATACTGTACTGTGAAACTGCGATACTGCAATACTGTTCTGTGATACTGTACTGTGATACTGCGATACTGTGATACTGCGATACTGTACTGTGATACTGTGATACTGCGATACTGTAATACTGTGATACTGTACTGTGATACTGTACTGTGATACTGCGATACTGTACTGTGATTCTGAGATACTGTGATACTGCGATACCGCAATACTGTACTCTGATACTGCAATACCGCGATACTGTACTGTGATACTGCGATACTGTGATACTGTACAGTGCTACTGCGATACTGTACTGTGATACTGATACTGTGATACTGTGATACTGTGATCCTGCGATACTGTGATACTGTGATACTGTGATCCTGCGATACTGTGATCCTGCGATACTGTGATCCTGCGATACTGTGATCTGCGATACGATACTGTGATCCTGCGATACTGTGATCCTGCGATACTGTGATCCTGCGATACTGTGATCCTGCGATACTGTGATCCTGCGATACTGTGATCCTGCGATACTGTGATCCTGCGATACTGTGATCTGCGATACTGTGATCCTGCGATACTGTGATCCTGCGATACTGTGATCCTGCGATACTGTGATCCTGCGATACTGTGATCTGCGATACTGTGATCCTGCGATACTGTGATCCTGCGATACTGTGATCCTGCGATACTGTGATCCTGCGATACTGTGATCCTGCGATACTGTGATCCTGCGATACTGTGATCCTGCGATACTGTGATCCTGCGATACTGTGATCCTGCGATACTGTGATCCTGCGATACTGTGATCCTGCGATACTGTGATCCTGCGATACTGTGATCCTGCGATACTGTGATCCTGCGATACTGTGATCCTGCGATACTGTGATCCTGCGATACTGTGATCCTGCGATACTGTGATCCTGCGATACTGTGATCCTGCGATACTGTGATCCTGCGATACTGTGATCCTGCGATACTGTGATCCTGCGATACTGTGATCCTGCGATACTGTGATCCTGCGATACTGTGATCCTGCGATACTGTGATCCTGCGATACTGTGATCCTGCGATACTGTGATCCTGCGATACTGTGATCCTGCGATACTGTGATCCTGAGATACTGTGATACTGCAATACTGTGATACTGCAATACTGTGGTCCTACGATACTGTGATACTGCGATACTGCGATACTGGGATACTGCGATACTGCGGTACTGCGATACTGGGATACTGCGATACTGCGGTACTGGGATACTGCGATACTGCGGTACTGGGATACTGCGATACTCACATGAGCGTCTGAGCAATGCCGGCATTGTGGGCAGCCATGGGCAGCCTGTCTGAACAAGGCCGGCATCATGGGCAGCAATGGGCAGCCTGTCTGGGCAATGCCGGCATCATGGGCAGCCTTGGGCAGCCTGTCTGAGCAATGCCGGCATCATGGGCAGCCATGGGCAGCCTGTCTGAGCAATGCCGGCATCATGGGCAGCCATGGGCAGCCTGTCTTGGCAATGCCGGCATCATGGGCAGCCGTGGGCAGCCACGGGCAGCTGTGGGCAGCCGTGGGTATACTGACTGCGATACTCACATCTTGTCCCACGAGCCTATGAGACGGAGACACGTCAGAGGAGCAGATGAGCCCCGGGTTGTACTGGTACAGCTGGGAGGCGCTGATCGGAGGATGGGTGTTGATAATGACGTCACTGCAGGTCTCTCCCGGGTTGACTGTGTAGTAGCTGGTGCAGCTCTGTTGCTGCGGGGAGCCGGTTTGCATGCAGATCTGCTGGCCAGGTGTGAGAGCGCTGCACTCGATGTCGGGGTTGGTGCCGTTGAGATGAGCTTGGGTCACGTTGAAGAGAGTGGCGATGGATGCACACGTGTCACCCTGCCATTGGAAGATGGGGGAGGGAAAGAGGGAGGAGCGGGGATGGGGGGGGGAGAGATGGGGGTTAGCGGATTTGTGTGAGGACTGGGGGCGGATGGTGGACTCTGCAACCACAGAGTGATGATGGACGCACACGTGTCACCCTGCGATTGGAAGATGGGGGAGGGAAAGAGAGGGGCGGGAATGGGGGAAGAGTGGGGGGATGAGGGCAGAGTGGGCAACGTATACACCCGAAGTGCAGAGACGATACAAGGAAATTTCTGGGCAAAGGAAGGACCCTAAAAAAACAACGTACCACTCTTTTTGAGGCGCCTAAAAAATTGGCTAGAGGGCAGAGTGGGCAGAGTGTACACGTGCAGAGATGATACAAGGAGAGTGCTGGGCAAAGGACGACTCTACAAGCAGAGTGAGGAGACTCTAAAGCAGATTGCTGGCAAAGGACCAGCAGGAAGAATGGCTCTAACAAGGCAGGTGGTGTTTGAAAGTACCTGGGCGATTGTGCAGAGGACCACACAGCCCAGCGCAGCAGCAGCAGTGGTGTTGTTGCGGATGACTAAGGGCGTGTGGCAGACATGATTTTGCAGGGTGTTTTTGCAGGGTGTTTTTGAGAATTCTCAAAAACACCCTGCGGATGACTAAGGGCGTGTGGCAGACATGTAGACAGAATGGCTCTCGCAAGGCAGGTGGTGTGAGATGGTACCTGGGCGACTATGTAAGGGACCACACAGCCCAGTGCTGCCGCAGCGGTGGTGGAGTTGCGGACAACAATGGGTGCGCCGGCAGGGAGGTCACCGCTGCACTTGAGCTTCTGCAGAAGGTGAGAGAAGAGCAGAAACGAGGAGAAACAGAGAGACGAACGGCAGCAGGGACACGCAAACGGTGAGCAAAGCAGCAGACGCAGGAAAGGTGGAGTTGCGGACAAAAATGGTTGTGCCGGCAGGGAGGTCACCGCTGCACTTGAGCTTCTGCAGAAGGTGAGAGAAGAGCAGAAACGAGGAGAAACAGAGAGACGAACGGCAGCAGAGACACGCAAACGGTGAGCAAAGCAGCAGACGCAGGAAAGGTGGAGTTGCGGACAACAATGGTTGTGCCGGCAGGGAGGTCACCGCTGCACTTGAGCTTCTGAAGAAGAGCAGCCGGGAGAACGAAGAAAAAATGTACAGAGAGACACGCGAGGGTGAGCGAAACAGCAAGCACAGAAACGAATCGAATCTAATCGAAAAGCACAGCAAGCATAGAAGCAAGGGTTGCTTTACGCCCAGATAAAAAAGCTATCTGGTAGCCTGCTTACCGGGTTGAGCGCAGTGAAATCCTTCACGGAGAGCTGGTAGGTGGTGTGGATGAAGACCCACGCAAGACATGGCAACAGGCAGCACTACTTCAGTCACCAGTGAGCAGCCAAACAGCCCTGCTTACCGGGTTGAGTGCCGTGAAATCCTTCTTGGAGAGCTGGTAGGTGGTGCGAACGAGGCCGCAGGACATGGCAACAGGCAGCACTACTTCGGTGACCAGGGAGCCCGGGACACAGGTGGCGGCCCCGCCAGCGAGCAACCCGGGGGTGTATCCCGCGGAGCAGAGGCAGGTGTAGCCGCCCTTGGTGTCTGTGTCCTCCACACATGTGCCGAATCCGCAGGGGTTGATGGCAAAGAACGTGCAGACCTTGGCTGTTGAGGCGAAAGGGGTGGAGGGTGCGGGAGGAGACAGGAGATGATGAGCTTCTAGCCAGGACGCAGCGAGAAGGGGTACCCGCCCTTGGTGTTGTCGGCGGGTGTGCCGAAGCCGCAGGGGTTGACGGCAACGAGCTTGCAGAACTTGGCCGTTGAGGCGCAAGGTAAGGGTGAGGGTGGGAAACAGCAGATGATGAGGTTCTAGCGGGGAACAGCAAGAAGGGGTGCCTGCCCTTGGTGTCGTCGATGGGTGTACCGAAATCGCAGGGGTTGACGGCAAAGAACGTTCAGATGTTGGCTGTTACGGGTGAGGTGAACAGAGGGAAATATAGCATACACGAGAGAGGCGAGGGTGGATTGCATAAACAGTAGGAAATTGACGCGCAGAAGCCGCAGGAAAGAGTTCTCAATCACCCTTTCCTAAGCCGCTTACCTAGGGCGCAGGTCTGCGTCTTGTCGAGGTTGGTGACGGCGACGAATCCCGCGGGGCATGTGCACTTGTTGCGCTGGCTCTCGTTGGTGGGCGTGGATGTGCAGGTGCCGCCGCCGCAGGGGTTGATGGGCTTGCACGGATCAGGGGCTGCAGTGAGAAGAGCATGTCAGAAAAGGGGAGGGTGGAACGGAGATTCAGCAGTCAGAAAGGGGGCGAATGAGCAAGCAGGTGCCACCACCACACGGGTTGATTGGCTTCTACGGGCCAGGGGCTGCAGTGAAGAGGGTGCCCGTAGGGAAATAGAGATTCAGCAGCCAGACAAGCAAGTCACGTGCACTTGTTGCGCTGGCTCTTGTTGGTGGGCGTGGATGTGCAGGTGCCACTGCCGCAGGGGTTGATGGGCTTGCACGGATCAGGAGCAGGCAGCATGCTCATCCCACACCGAGAGAGCAGGCAGCATGCTCATCCCACACGCAAAGACACAGATGAGGGGGAAACGCAAAGGTGCATAAGAAGCACAAGAAAGGATGAGAGGCCCTTTGGAATGCAGATGAGGAGGGGGGAGGGGGGATGGGGGATGGGGGAACGCACTCGTGATGACAGGATAGAGGCCGGGCATCGTGTTCATCCCACAGATTCCCGCGCCGCCCGCAATCGCAATCCGCATGTAGCCGTTCTCGCCCCACGACGGACCCCACGAGTTGCGGATGATCCAATACGGCACCGCGTCCATCATGTTAAAGCCCACCACCACCACCAGGTGGTCCACCACCCCGGTGCTGTAGCACTTGGGGTCGTTGTACACAAACCCACCCGCGTACCCCTTAAAGGAGTCCGCACGCGCCTCGAGATAAACCACCACAGGCTGCTTCTGGACGGCCAGCGTGATGCCCAGCCACCCAGTGATGCCAATGCTCTCAAACATGGAGATGGAGTGGGGGGGAAGCGGCGTGCTGCTGGCCCCAGGGCCCACAGCGGCCTTGGTAAGCACAGGCCTGGTAAGCTGCTTGGACTTGTGAGAGGCGAGCATACGGGAGTGGTGGGCGGGGATGGAGGCGGTAGTGATGGTGTTTTCAGCAGAGGGTGAGTTGGTGACGATCGTGGTGGCAGAGCCTTTGTCGGAGAGGAGACGGCGGAGCTGGAAGCGCGCAGAGACCTGCAAATGCACATGGGGAAGAAGTCGGCGCAATGAAGAGGGAGAGGGGGAGGGAGGGGAGAAGGGGGGAGGACGAAGTTGAAGAAACGAGCAGCTGCAGCAATATCGCAAATGCTGGACCAAGCGACTGCATACCCAAACATCTTGAGAATTCCCACCACCCGCCATATGGACATTTTGAGAATTCCCGGGAGGGGATTCTCACCTTGTCATCTCCCTTGCACGAGGTGGAGTTGCGACTGCCTGTGTAAGGATAGGTATCACTAGCAGGCAGACCCCCGCTGGCAGCAATGTAGTCAAAGGCGTCGCTGGGCTTCCCACCCTCGCACGCCCACGTGCCCTGGCAGTCGATGGCCTTCTGCTCGGATATGCTGGGCGGCACGAGGTTGTACGCAATGGCGTAGGCTGCTTCCATTGCTGTCACGGGGGCGAAGATCCAGCACGCGGCTGCGATGGGGAATAACGGGGTTGCGAGGTGGAAGAAGGGAGGATGAGGAAATCGGAGAGGGGACCCGGGTGAGGGTGGTCTGGCGAAGATCTGGCATGGGGCTGAGGTGGGGAATCGAAAGGGGGATGGGAGGTGGAAGAGGCGAGGATGAGGCGAATCGGAGAGGAGTTCGGCAAAAGAAATAAAAAAACAAATAAAAGGGGCGGGAGCGAGACAAGCAAGGGCGAGCGAGCGCAGCAAGCAACGGAAGAAGGATGAGGAATTCGGCAAAGGAACAAGTGGGAAGGGAGGGGAGGGAGGGGAGGGTCATGAGCGGGGCAAGTAAGGGCGAGCGAGCTGCAGACGGACTTACAGCAAGCTCCTTGGTTCTTGGCAGGGAGAAGAGCCGCGGGGATGCGCGACGTCCAGTCAACGGAGGGCGGAATGGTCCACTGCGGGCTCGCCGTGGTTCCTGAGAACCCAACGGTCATGTACCGGAAATACTCGTTATAGTACGTCCCGCTTGGATGCGCCGCACCATCCAGTTTCGCTCCGCGGAACTCCCTTATCCGCATGGTGTCGTTGTCAGGGGGCGACGGCGGGGGGGAAGCGGAGCGCCGGCTTTGGAGCGGCGAAGGCTGCTCGGAGCACGAAGGGTACGTAACAGTAACACCGCCCACGCGAACAGATAGGGTAACATTGTGCATCCCGTCGTTACAGACACACGCGGGGGTGAGGGATGGCGCGGTCAGGGTGCAATAGCCGAGACCCCCGCAGGCACCCGCGGGGAGCGCCGCTCCGCAAAACGCGACGCATTCGATCGCCCGCCGCTGTGCGCCGACAATGCAGCCCGTCCCCGCGCTGGCGCTCCCCCCGCTGCGCCCCGCGGGGCTCTCCGGATCTTTCTTGTTGCTCTTCACCTTGCTCTGCGCGAAACTTTCCAAGACGTTCCAAGTTCCGCCGAGGAAGCAATTTTCCCGCAGGCTGCTGTACCTGGACGCGCCGAAATGCGCGAGATTCACGTGCGCGAATCCGCCATTGAGATTCGACGGGCAGAATTCAGCGGACAGTGCCGTGTAGGGGACTGGCGGGGTGATGAAGTAATTCCCGCTGAGATCGTAGGTTGCCTGAGCGGCGTTGGCGAGTGAAGGAGAGGCGAACGAGGATACGGGGCTCCCGCTGAATTGGTTGTCGCTGACGTCACTGTCAGAGCAAAACGTGAGGTGGTAAGGTGAAGAGACAGAATCGACAGGCAGGATTCCCGAAAGAAAGTATCATTGAAGCAGGAATTCCCGAGAAAGTAGATCCGCGAAGAAGCACGTAGAACCGATAAGAACTGTGGTTAAGGTAGATGAGATTCTTAGCAGACGTACAGGAAGACTAGGCTAGTGAAGGACCCAACCGCGGCGGGGAGGTTGCCGAAAAACTGATTGCGGCTAACGTCCCTGTCACGCAAAGAAGGCATTCGATGACACACAGAGTACGTAATTTGTTCAAGACATACGCTTAGGAAACCACAGCAGGTCGATCTGAAAGCCGCCGCGACTGCAACTGATTTACTGGAATTGTACACCACGGAACCAAAGCACCAGGTATTCCGTTGACTAGTGAGTCCACTCAGAAGTTAAAGCACGAGATATGCCGTTGACTCACAATGCGACGAGCGACTGCAGGCCGACGATGCTCTTAGGAAGAAAACCGGAGAACTGATTGCCTCCCACAAGCCTGAAAAGGTGTGGAAATTGAGATGAGCATAAGATATAAGGGCGCGTCATTTTAGTCTACGTAAGCATCGATTCAAGCTCGATCACCAGATGTACACTTGTACACTCTGCGCCGCCTCGCACAGTGACGAAAACAGTTAGTATTTTCGCTGAACAAACAATGTTTTTCCGTGAGAATTCGCGATTTCTACGAGTTGTGTAACCCTACTTGGTCATCGGTCGATGCCCACAAACACACGCCTAAAATGACGCGCCCTAATCGAAAGCGAGCAGAACAAGACGCCTCACACACGAAGATATATGAAACAGGCCGATTCGACAATAAAGAAAGGTACCACAGTAAGCAAGCGAGCACGGCCCGTGGGTAAGTGTTTTACAGTGACTGGAGTTGGGAAAGGTCGAAGAGAGAAGCAGGCAAAACTCCAGAGAACCGATTAGATCCGAGGGCCCTGCATCAAAAGGGCGGTACACCGTATATTCGTAGCGAGCTCTCTCAGTAACGGAACGAAAAGAAAGAGCCAGAGAAGATGACGAAAAGCCATGGACCGTTGACGAAACAGAAACCTCAAACGTAAGAGATTGCCGACGAAAGAAAGCCAGCTCCGGTCAGGTCGTTTGTACGCCAATCCTGGTCCGTAAAAGGCGACGTACAGAGTGCTGAGAGCAGTGAGCCCGTTGAAGGCATTGGGGAGGGCTCCAATCAGGCGGTTAGAGCTCACATCCCTGCAAACAAAAGGAGAAAGAAACGTTTGTAATGCCGAAGAAGAGGTTGATAGAGACGATTGACCAGACGCATGACACTAGTAGTTGTAAAAATGGAAGAGTGTTGACGACGCCGGTAAACGCGCTGCCATGCTTACAATGTCCGCGATGCTTACAATGTCTGCAGGTTGACCAGATTGGATATGCTGCTTGGGAGACCACCACTCAGGGCGTTTCCGCCAAGGGACCTGATGAATCGGAGGAGGAAGTAAGCATAGATTAGCGAAAGGCGACATCAAATCCAGACAATGAAACGAATATGGCAAGACGAGGGAGCTGCGCAGCAGCAGGAGAGGGCAAGACGGAGAAACTAGCAGCTGCTGCAGCAGCAGCAGTAATGAAGCAAAGATGAGAAAATGGCTACGAAAGACGATAATCAGGTGGAGATGAAGGAATCTGATGCTCACAGGTTCGTCAGTGCGGATAAGAATCCGATGTCAGCAGGGATATTGCCGACGAGCAGGTTGCGGTCCAGAGCCCTGCGCCACGTCAGCGGGTGCGGAAAAAGGAGAAACTGAGCAGCGGAGCAAGGCGGGATGATAAGAAAAACGCAACGAAAGAAAAAAACCACATTGGCGGGCACTTTCGTCACTCCCTTGGCACCGCGCATACAGTTTCTGAAGAGCCGAAAGCTGAGTCACGGCGTTGGGAATCGAAGCTCCGGCCAGCTTGGCTCGTCCTGAGAACTCCCTGAAGAAAAGGTGAAAACAAAAAAACACGGAAGATATAGAAACAGCGCGCAGACTTGTCAGGCATGTGTAATGAGTCGATTTTTGAGTCGACTAAAAAATCGACTTGTCAGGCATAAGGGCACAGAATGAAAGCACGCAAAAAAAGGGACGCGAGCACAAGAAGCATCAGAAAGTAACGAATGCGTGAGACAACGTACAAGGAAGTGACTTCGCCAAGGGCGTTGCAAGTGAGACCGAGCCATTTCGAGCAGTCCGATGCGTTGAACCACGTCTGGCTCAGCGGCAGGGCCTGACCCCACGCGTCAACAAGCGCTTGGAGAGCAAATTCTGCAACCACACAGGCCATAATTCGACAACTGAGCCACTGAATGGGAACAGTACAAGCCTCACGGAACAACATCGGAGGAGCGAATGGGAAGGCGATACGACCAGATTTTGCAACTTACTTTGAGTATTGGCGACCCCTTGTGCATTGGCGAGAGGCGATGATAGCACGGCGAGGAAGCTAAGGGCGAGAACCAACGCAACCAGTCTATGCCAAAGAGGCGAATGCGTACTCAGAAACAGCCTCATAGCGGCCATTCGAAGAAAGAATCCTTGAAACTAGGCGCTGGCGCACTTCACACCTTCCGGAAAAAAACCGCGGGAGCGGTTACGGCTAATCCGTTAGGACTAAATCAAGCCTACAGCCTTGAGGATCGGGCGCTGGGATAAGGATATTGGGACAACGATGAACTCAAGCTGGCAAAACCTATGGTACCTATTGCAAGCCTTTGAGACCTACAAACGTGCGACTTACCCTCGGATGGACCTACGAAGAAGCGACGGAAGTTAAGGATCTGTAAACTGATGTTTCACCCTGTCCGTTGGTGTGGAACTTCGCGCTGTCGAGCTCCTATACTGCCCACAGCGTACCAGTCTGCCAAATATGTAGGAGGAACAGAGAGAGAAGCAGCAACAGCCCTCGCACCGCGTTGTTGAACACTGAAGTGCACCAATGATCTTACCTCAAGCGCGTCGCGAAATGCACCTGGTCTCGGCTATTGTCTGTCCCGGAACAGTCCAGATTCCAAACCCACCTACCAGGTTCTCAGCATGACTCGCGTTGACACTGAACCTGATTGGCTGCAGTCTGAACGATAACAAACAGTCAAATCAAATTAGGAAAATTGCGAGAATATATTTGGTAGTTGTGCAGGCAACTTCTCCAGTGCATGAGCGAGAATATGTAGCCAAGTGACCATTGATACTGTGGATTTACCCTTCAATGTCGCGTTTGCCTGGGTTTGGGCGTTTCCGGCTTAGAGGCTAAAACCGCGTGCAACAAATGTGGGACAAAATAGGAGAAAAAGGGTACATTTTATTAGCAGCTAACTCCCCCACCGAAATTATTCCTCAATAATTTCACGCGCAAGTCCCTTAACTGAGGTGATTCCGAGGGTGATCTAGGATTCCAAGAGAGTGTGTAGGAAGTTTAGTAAAAGACTCCAAGTGCAATATTACGCTACTGCATATACCACATGACACCCCCATTCCTGCCCCTAGCTACCATGCCCTAATGAATTTGAGATAGACGCTAAGTGTGTACAAGTGTACAGAGAATCGTTATTATTCATGCTTTATGGTCGCCACAGAAGCACCTCTCTCTCATCCCTCTTCTGTTTCTTCCACTAGACTTAGCATTGGCCCATCAGGAGCTCTTAGAGCAGCCACCTGCACAATGCACACATGGAAAACGCGAAAAAGGCAAGGAGATATACTCCTGCAAAGTGGAAATGAGGCATCCTGCAAAGAATCTAACCCAAGCACCGAGGCTTCTTGGCCTCAATCATCCTTGACAAAGAGTCAAAAGTCACATTATCCTAATTTGGTCCTAATTATTATTAGGGCGTTCCGGTTTCCAGCAAAAACCATAACTTTGGCGGGTTACACAGTTTGCAACACATTTCGATGGAGCTTCGCGAATGCCTCTCCGGGAAAAAAAATAATCGCGAATTCCGGTACGAGTACCGGATTTTTGAGAACTGGAACTGTAAGCACCACGTCCTCAGTCTCACCTGGCCATGTCGCATGTACGTGTAACACAGCACCATCCAAGGCCACCCCCAGGTGCACATACCACATGTGCACATACACATCTAAATGTTTCAACTGGTGAACTCACCCGGCCATGCGGCAAATGCACCACAGCACCATCCATCACCGCTCCCAACCGCAGCATGCGCAGGAGAGTGGAGTCAAACTCCCCCTCTCCTCGCACGGAGAAGGAGAGCATGGGAGAGAAGCCATGAGCTGTGTGCGCTGTGCTGAAAGGGAGGGGGGATGCGTGGAGAGGAAAAGACCTAAGGAGACAACGGTTTGAAAGATAAATAAATCATCGATTACTGACCCCCCCTACCACACACCCATGCGCCCCCCATCCCATCATCTCTCTCCGATCCCTCTCCCACCCACCACACCCTTCTTCCACCCCCAGATCCATACATTCTGCCACCCTCCCCCCTCCACCCCCCCTCCCCGCACGCAACACTCACACCCTCCCTCACTTCTGCATCACACACTCGCACATTCCCACACACACGAACACACATTCCCAAAATCACACATTCACACACTCAAACGTTCACACACACACACACACACACACGCACACACACGCACGCACGCACGCACACACACAGACACAGAAACACACACACTCACACATTCTCACGCTCACTCACTTCCGCCCTCTTCCTCTACACCATACTTTCGCCCTCTTTCCTCCCCACTTTCTCCCCCCCCCCCCACTCTCCCCCTCCCTTCCCCGCCTCTCCCCCTCCCCCCCTCCCTCCCCTTCCCCCCCTTCCCCCACTTCCCCCCCTTCCCTTCCTTTCCCCCCATTCCCCCCATTCCCCCCATTCCCCCCCTTCCCCCCCTCCCCCCCCTTCCCACCCTTCCCCTTTCCCCATTCACCATACCCCGAACCTCCTTCCACCATTCTCCCCCACCTTCCTCTACCCTCAACAGCCGCAACACTTTTTCAGCCTGACTGCCCCACCCATCCCCCACCCCCCAACCCCCCCCACAACCACCCCCCCACCGTCCCACCCTTCCCCCTCCCCCTTCCCCCTCCCCAACCCCGCCCCACCCGTCGCATTGCTGCAGCGCGATCCGCGTATGACCAGCCTGCACCTCCGCCCACCGCTCCGTGCACACCAGCACGGGCAGCCCCAACCCCTCCTTGAAAAATTTCGCTGCCCGCGGCACGTCGCGCTGGAGCAGCAACACGTGGCGCAACGCTGCCGCTGCTGCAGACGCTGCGCCTCCTGATGCCGCCATGCTAGCGAGATAGAATCACAGACGAGTTAATGCGAGTAAGGGTTACTAGGCCATTTTGGACAGGCCTGCAAGTTAGGGTTTAATCGCCCGAGGTTGGTACTAGGTCGCCTAATGTTGCTACTAGATTGCCTAAAATTCCTAATAGGTCGCCTAAGGGTTGTTATCCAAAAAGAACAAACAGTCAACTGCTCAATGAGACAATGATGTGACACGAGGTTCTAAGGTTTGTCCGCCCCCGAGAACTTTAGGGACATTTGCGGGGCCATCACAGGCTTGCCAGGGCGTGTTTTGGAATTCCCAAAAAAACACATCAGCTGTGCTCTGCAGGCACATGGAAAAGGGATGGAAATGGAAACCAGCCCTCCGAGCCTCACCAACTGGTAAGGTGCCGAGCCTCAAATATTAGCTCGGCTTGAAACGAGCGCTCCGAGCCTCACCAGTTGTCGGTTTGCAATCCACTCGTTTCTTTCTTCGTATATCAACCTGCGTTGGGGTGTCGTCGTTGGATAGTGGCCGGTATGGCTTGTATCACGGATGGAGAGAGTACCCACGAAATTTCCAAGAGGACCCGAAACAGCCACGTCTTAGAACCGGGCTCGGACCTGGTGTCAGTTTCCATGACATTTATCACATAGCTGAACGGAATCGGGCATGCTAGCGTGCAAGTTACATGGCCGTTGGAAATATCAAGAAATGCAGAAATCCCATATATATTTTGTGTGTGTTGCGGAGCAACCTATTGCGATCGATCGGGCGACATTTTCCTTTTCAAAATTTATCAAGTTTTATTAAAAATGAAATTAATTGAATCAAAATGATGGATAATAGTGACAATACATAGAAGATCCATCATCTACACTACATAGCTTCATTAGCTTTGCTTAACGAATAATTGAAAGATATGGCATATCGCCATAGGTTGAAAGGGAGTAATTGAAATGTGTAATATAATGTAATCTAATCATTAAACCATGGTATTGGAAAATAAAGATTTGATGGAAAACAAGAACAAACATGTAAATGTTTTCCATCATTTCCCGTAGCGTATCTTTGTCGGCGACAAAAATAGGCAATCGCAGTGAAATTATATATGTTATATATAATTGTAGGCTTGGTAGGTATTACTGAAACCTACTGTAGAGGGTACAACTCTCTCCTTGTATCCCTCTCACTTCTAATCTCGACCTCTTTTCTCTCGTCAACTTTCTCTCCTAGCTAAACCCTTACGCCACTTTATGGCCGCCTACCGTTCCTAGCTCGCTACCTTTTCAACATGGTAACAGTACGAGTTACCCTTCCCGGGCCTGCTCCCCACGTTTCCGCCGCGTACTCGCCCTTCTCTCGTCACTTCCGTGCCACCGTGGTGGCCATGCCGGGCTGTCATGGCGGCTTCGTCGTGCTGCTATGGCAGCGTCAACGTGCCGCCGCGGCATTGACGCCACGCTGTGGCGGCGTCGTCAAGCTGCCGTAGCGGCGTCGTCGGGCGCCAGCGGGCCGCGCAACGTTCTAAGCGCCTACCCTGATGCCCGCATGCCAGCCCCGGACGTGTTGCTGGACCCCCCCCCCCCCCCCCCCCCCTCTTCCCTTCTTTGCATTTCCCTTTCACCCCGCTGCAGCTGATGGCTGTCTCGCTCCGTGCGCCTTCGTCGTTGCTGAGCCGGGCCACGTCACCGGGTGCCACGGTCTCCGTCGCCGTCGCCTCCGCCGTCGAAGTCGCCGCCGATGTTGCAGGTGCTGCTGGCTCTGCCGCCGCCGCTGTCGAAGCCGCCGTTGTCATCGTAATGTCGTCGACGCTGCCGCCGCCGTCGCCGCCGTCGCCGCCACCGATGTCCCCGCCGTCGCCGCCACCGATGTCCCCGCCTCTGACGTCGCCGCCTCGAACTTCGAGGGGTCGACCGGGCTGATGCAGCCACCGCTGCTGTAGGGCATGGGGGTGCGAAGGGTCTTGGGGGTGTTGTGGGTGTTGGTTGGCTTAAGACTACTAAGCCTAGGGGGTGTGTTAAATTATATAAGTTATACATCATTATAGGCTTGGTAGGTATTAGTAAAACCTACTGTAGACGGTACAAATCCCTCTTTGTATCCCTCTCTCTTCTAATCTCGACCTCTTTCCTCTCGTCAACTTTCTCTCCTAGCTAAACCCTCTCGTCAACCTTCATGGCCGCCTACCGTTCCTAGCTCGCTACCTTTTCAACAATGGCTTCTCCAGCTAAGTGGGGGAAGCTGAAAGCCTAATAATCAAATCACACAATATTTTTTCAGGCAATGCACTTTGTGATAGAAAGAAAACAGATTGCACTTATCATCTCCATTTCAAATGACTGCACTCAAGGTGAAAAGTCAAAGAACCTTACTCGAGACGAGCAGCACAATCTTTTTTATTGCATACACAAAATGCAATACCCATGTATCAAGAAAGCAGTAGCCGAATGGAGAAGGGCAGCAACGGAAAGCAAAGGGCAAAGGCAGCAACAAGTAGAAAGCAATTGAAACATGTTACGTATATGATAGTCTACTGTAGATAAAAAGCATAGTAGGAAACCAGAGATCCTTTCTAATGGCAATCCTGAAGCACCAATACACGTGGCAAAAAAATGAGAACATTAAAAGAACACAAGTTTAGTTGACAAACGAATGCATGGTAGAACTCGGAAAATGGAACTCAAGATTAAAGAAGGAAGGACACATGAGATAGAGGTAAAAAATGGGAAGGCAGAGGTATAGAGAGGTAGAGGTAGAGAGAGAGAGAGAGAGAGAGAGAGAGAGAGAGAGAGAGAGGAGAGAGAGAGAGAGAGAGAGAGAGAGAGAGAGAGAGAGAGAAAGAGGGAGAGAGGGAGTGAGTGAGAGAGAGAGAGAGCGAGAGAGAGAGAGAGAGAGAGTGAGAGAGAGAAAGAGAGAGAGAGAGAGAGAGAGAGAGTGAGAGAGAGAAAGAGAGAGAGAGAGAGAGAGAGAGAGAGAGAGAGAGAGAGAGAGAGAGAGAGAGAGGGGGGGGGGGGGGAGGGAGGGGGGGGGCATGCTATTTAAGCCTCTCATGAGCCCATCCTAGCTAAGTTTCATTGGGAGTTTCTTCCCTGGTTTGGCGGATAAAGGAAAAGAAGTAGCGGAAAAGACAGGAGGGATAAGAGAAAGAAAGTAGCCGAATAAAAGATTGGTAGATGGAAGAAAGGAGTGGGGAATGCGGAACAAGAAATGAAGGTAGGTGGAATAAGAGTGTGGTGGGCATAATAAGGGAGAGGTTGGAGGGATGAGACGTAGGCGGAGTAGGCGGAGTAAGTGGAGTAAGAGTAGGTGGAATAAGGAAGAGAGGTAAGCTGAATAAGTAAGAGGCAGGCGGAGTAAGGGAGAGGTAGGTGGAATAAGGATGTAGGTGGAATAAGGAAATAGGCGGAATAAGGAAGAAGGCGGAATAAGAGAAAGGTAGGCAGAACAAAGAGAGGTAGGCGGAATAAGGGAGATGGTTAGGCGGAATATGGAGATAGGTAGGCGGAATAAGAGAGAGGTAGGTGGAATGAGAGGTAGGAGGAGTAAGAGAAATATAGGCGGAATACGCGTGAGGTAGGCGAAATAAGAGAAAGAGAGGCGGTATAAAGAAGAAATGTAGCCAGAACAAGAAAGAGGTAACTGGAATAAGGGAGGCACGCGGAATGTGAGAAATGCATGCGGACTTAGGAAGTGAGGAAGGTGGGATAACAAAAAGGTAGGCGGAATAATGAAGAGCGGTAGGCGGAAATATAGTGAGAGGTAGACGGTATAAGAAAGAGGTAGGCAGGATAAGAAAGGGGTAGGCGGAATAAGTGAGAGGTATGCGGAATAAGGGAGAGGGTTCGAAGGAATACGAGAGAGGTGGGCGGAATAAGAGAAAGAGGTAGGCGGGATGAGGGAGGGTTAGGGGGAGTCGGCGGAATAGGAGAAATCTAGGTGGAATAAGGGAGTCAACAAACTAGGATCAAGAATGGCAGGCAATTAGAGAAAAGTATACTAAAAATCTTCTCACGTTGAAAAAAGGCTCGATGGTGCCATGGAGGAATTCGAGTTCTAGAAAAACGTAGGCTAAAGGCAGCGTCTTGGAGGGAAAAAAATGACAGAGCAGTCCAGCAACCCTAGGCATAATTAGTCACATCGTAAAGATAAACAATCAATTAAATAAAATCTTGATGACATCTGTTATAAATGAACAAGCAGAGTAGCGCGGAAATGAATAACGAAGTGTTCAATCAGTGAATGATGATACAAGGAATCACAAGCCAATATGTAGGAACACCAGAGCAAGTCTAACCATGAGATGTGAAGGTTCGGGAAAGAGATCGAAGGGTCTCGAAGTGACGAAGCGAGGCCCAGAGAACTCCCGAATGTCGAACTAAAAGGTCTGGAGAAGCTGAGACAGTTCCTGTCAGTAAGGTCCGGAACTGTCCCGAGGCTTCTGGTGTATTCGAGTGTACGCGATAGCAGTACCGCTCGATAAGGAATGGAAAATTCCTTACACAACCCCCCTCTTAGCGAAGGTGATCTATATCAGTCACGTGCTTGCGGGCTAAATATTTCGGAAGTATCGAAGGTGACTGTATCTTGTCCGAGGCCACCCACGTGTCGTCCTCCCTGGTACGATTAGTCCATCGTATCAGAAAGTCAATGTGTCATCCTTGGCCGTCGATACGAATCCTATGGCTCAAAATCTTCGAAGGTTCGATGGTCGTCTCTGCTGGTGGCCGTATATCCGGGGCCAATCACTGTCGAGCGATGGCCGATGTGTCAGATACAAAAGGTCGCAATAGGCTCACGTGGAACTTGTTGTGAATACGCCAATCGTCAGGTAGGCGCAACTGGGCGGTCACCGGAGTCACCATCTTCATGATCTTGAATGGGCCACAGAAGCGTGGTCGTAATTTTGTTGGTAGTGGTAGCCGTAAGTTCTTGGAGTCCAAAAGGACCAGTTGCCCTGCTGCCATTGTAATATCCCGTCGATGTAAATCCGCATACCATCAGGCAGTAGCATTCGCCTTGCGAATCAGTTCGACAGCTTTGTCTCGGGCAGTCTGTAATTCTTTGACGAACTGCTGTGACCGTGGTACTTGACTCTCAACGTTGGTAGAGATAGGTACTATGGGGTCCATCCCATAATTGAGGTAAAACGGGGAGTGATTAGTCGTAGCTGAGGGCGCGTTGTTGTAGGAGAATTCCAACATGGGAAGCACGTCCTCCCATTTGTTTCGGTCGGGGCAGTTTGTCCGAATCAGCTGTTCCATCGTTTGGTTTGTTCTTTCTGTCTGACCGTCCGTTTGGGGATGATAAGTGGATGAGAATTGCAGGCGCGTGCCATACCGAGCCCACGTGTCCTGCCAAAATTTCGACGTGAACTTCGTATCCCGATCGCTGATGATTGCTGCTGGTATCCCGTATAGGTGAACAACAGTCGAGATGAACAGTCGCGCGGTTTCTTCGGCTATGATGGTTGTACGACATGGTGCAAAATGCTCCATTTTCGTCAATCGATGGACGACAGCCAATACTGCGTCGTTTCCGCTAGATAGAGCCGGCAGACCTGTGACGAAATCCATCGTCACGTGTTGCCATGGGCGTTGAGGTGGCTCGAAGGGCTGCAACAGTCCTGTCGGTCTCTGATGTGATGATTTCATTCGCTGGCAGATCGGACACGCGGCCACGTAACGCTGCACGTCCGTCACCATATCTGGCAAGTAATAAAACCGCTGCAACGCCTTCAGAGTTTCATCAACCCCGAAATGTCCCGATAAATTCGAATCGTGGACTTCTTGAATTAGTAATTCACGGAGTAGACGATAACTTGGGACCCAAATTCGATCCGTCCCGCTTCGTAAGTAATAGCCGCGTTTCCGTGTAGTGATTTGGAGATGGCCGTCATTTACAAAGAAGGGGTCCGTCGAATACCCGTGGGTAAATGGTCCACTCAGTAGCGGGTTGCTCTGGGCGACTAGTACTGCTGCGAGTTGGGCAGACGGTCTGGAGAGGGCATCGGCAATATTGTTGGCGCCCTTTTTGTACGTGAACTGTATGTGAAGTTGGACTCTAGATAGTCCAGCCAGCGTATCTGCCGCGGGTTGAGATTCGGTTGCGCCCTCAGGTACTGTAGAGATTTATCATCGGTTCGCACCGTCACGTCTGCGCCAGTCAGGTAGCACCTCCAGATTTTGAACGCGTGGACAATCGCCAGCATCTCCTTATCGTGTACCGGGTAGTTGTGCTCAGCAGATTGCATTTTCCGAGACTCGTATGTGATTGGTTGAAGACCATTGCCAAAATCTTGCATGAGCACTGCTCTGATGGCGATGTCACTTGCGTCGGTGATGACTTCGAAGGGCCATTCCGGGTTAGCGATGCGAAGTACTGGTGGCGACATTAAAAGAGTTTTTAATGCCTCGAACGCAGCTTGCTGCTTCTCTCCCTACTCGTAAGAAGTCCCCTTCTACAGTAGGTCGGTTAGAGGTCCAGTTAACCCTGACATGTTGGGTATAAACCGTCTCACATAATTCACAAAACCCAGAAATGATTGCAGCTGCTACAGATTGGTTGGCGGTTTCCACTCGTGAATAGCCCAGAGTTTTTTCGGGTCTATTTGAATCCCCTCCGTGGATATCACGTGCCCTAGGAACTCCAGTTCTTGTTTTAAAAACTCGCACTTGGAGCCCTTGGTGATGAGACGATGCTGCTGCAGTTGCTGGAAAACCGCTCCCAAGTCATTTAAATGTTGTTCTCGGGTCTTTCTAATGTCATCCAAGTAAATTATCACACATTTGTTGAGTAGATCGTGGAACACCCCGTTCATGGTAAGCTGGAACGTCGAGGGAGCGTTCGTTAATCCAAACGGCATCACCGTGTATTCGTAACTCCCGTAGCGAGTACGAAACACGGTTTTGTGGCAGTCGTCGGCGAACACCCGAATTTGATGGTAACCGCCGCGAAGGTCGATCTTCGAAAAGTAGTGAGCTCTGCGAAGGTTGTCAATCAGCTCGTCTGTGCGTGAGATTGGGTAGCGCGGTTTAATCGTTACCCGATTAAGGGCACGATAGTCTGTACACATGCGAAGTCCGCCGTCCTTCTTTGGGGTAAACATGATCGGCGCCGCGAACAGGGACGGGCTTGGCCGAATAAACCCGTTTGCAAGAAGGTAGTCAAGTTGGTTCCATAATTCATGTAGCTCGGGCTGAGTCAAGCGCCATTGTGTTCGTACTATAGGCTGCGCGCTAGGCTCCAGCTCGATTTTGTGATCTTGGGGTCTTTCGGGTGGCAGTCCACTTGGCAAGTCGTCCGGGAAAATCTCAGGATATTCCCGAACGATTTTTTCCAAGTCATCCGGGACCGAAGCGCAGAGTTTGTTGATGTCGGTCGCCTCGTTTTACTCCGTTGATTCGGTTAGATGGACAGCGTATAAATCCGCTCCATTCTTGACCGCCCGTTTGAGGCACACAACGTTGACTCGTGTCGAGGTCGATTCTGCTTCCGGCCACGTGGGTAATTTTTGTTAGGATTAAGGACGGAGTCTAGGTGTGCTTAGGAGCTAGAAATACTCAAAATATAAATCCGAAATTCTGGACAGAAAAGTCGTCTTCACAAGAAACGACGTCGACAAAAAACTAGCCGTTCGAATGTCGCGAAACTTCGAGATGTTGTAGCTCTTAATCTCAGCTACCGTTCCCAATTTGAATCACGTCGATTAATGAAGTATTCGCGACGCTATGTCTTTCGACGCACTGAGGGGTAAGCTGTAGGAGGAGAACTTAACTCAATCTCAAAAGTTCAATCAAGGTTCAAGAATCTCACAAGGAATTGGAGGAGCAAGAGAAAGGTTGGGATAGAAAGAGAGGGACGAGAGGGAAGGTCCCAAGAGAGTCCCCAACCAAGGAAACCCCATAAGCACAAAGATTCCCTCCCTATAGGAACCCCAACTTTGACATTTGTCCCTTCCCAACCAATCCATCCAAGTTGGCCACCCTTGCCAACCTAGCTTGGTTGTTCCCAACCAATTTGCAGCTGTTACAGTAGAGTGACAAATTTCCCCAACCCCAAAGGTCCCAACTCCATATAGAGTCACCCCACAACTTCACTTTGTAACCGCCGCAGTTGTAACGCAAGCTCATGAACTTTGAATCTTCATAGCTTTCGCGTTCTTGCTCCGATTGAAGCGATTCTTGTTGCGTCGGAAAGATCTTCTCAAGATCTATCATCACAAATACCTGCTCAGACAGAATAACACAAAACACATTCCCAAACTCCAGAACACACCACACACAAATTCTTTCACACACAGTCAAACCATACATACGAATTGAAACAAGAGATGGGAGGCAGACAGAATGTGATAGCATATGATGACATCACACAACAATTTTCGCCAACCTTTTTCGCACTTCACTGTGCACTCGCCTGTTGTCCAATCAATCTGCGAATTGAATCTTCGCAGCCAATCACATCCCAACAGCACATCGTATCCATCGAGTGTTGTCGCTAGCATCGGCGTGCTGTAGCCGAAATCTTCGCCACACTTCATTCGAATGATGGGTACTTTGTCGCGTATCGCCAGCGGGGTCCCATCTACCAATCTTGCATCGATATCAGGCAGACACTGTTCCAACGATAAGTGTAGTCTTTGTGCTGTCTCCTGATTTATCAGGCTGTGACTTGCACCTCCGTCGATGAATATTTTATTTTTTCTTCCATTGAGTCGTCCTTCCGCCAGCACAGGGTGGTCCACTGGGTCATCCCCCTTATTCAGCCGGGAGCGGTTGATAGCGTGTAATGGAACTACCACCCAGTGGGGATGGCCTTTTTCGGGCAATGAGGCAGGGTCAGTAGGGGGCCCGACCGCTACTGACGCTTGGCGTTTCACGACCTGCCGTCGTCGTTCTTCTTTATCTGCTTCTTTCGGGGGCAATCGTGAGATTGGTGACCCGGCTGGTGGCAGTTGAAACATTGTCCCTTGCGAAAATCTTCCATGTGCTCCTTCGCCACTACGCCGTGAATCCTGGGCCGTGGATCCTGGCTGCGAAAACGATTTCCCTCCCAGGAACCCGCTATCGCATACGTCCGATGCGCGCCAAAATTGTCTGCGATCCGGACTGCTTCGTGAAACGTCGCCGGTAGTCGCAAGTGAACCTCGCATTTAATGTCCTGCTTCAGGCCCGAAATGAATCGAGCCTTCTTCTCGGAGTCACGCATGTCGGTGATTTGATCGCATAACGCCATGAAGACCGAAGCGTAATCTTGGACAGAACTCCACTGGCGCCAGTTGTCCAGCTTCGTGCGCGCGTTGTCCGAGGCGGAAAATCGTTCCCGCAGAGTTGTACCCCACGCCTTCCACGTGCAAATCTTGGTCGATCAGAAAATCACGGTTGACCCTTGGGCAGCAGACCCAAAGTTTCCGAAAAACCCCTGTGTGTCGCCTGCCGAAAACTCCCCCTCTTGTAGTGTATATAGCCACCAATCTAGCGCAGGTCCCCGCAGTAGTGATACAGCCAGCCGAATTTTTAAATCGCCAGCAGTGATCCCAGCGGCATTAAAATAAAGTTATGTTGAAAATAACCAACCCATAACAGTCATATTCTTATCAGTGGGGTTGAACGGGGGCGGCATTGTCGGTTTGATTATCGTTGTCGTCACTATCAGCACGAATGCCAGTGCGGCTACAGTAGCGGCTGCCTCTGACCGGGCGGCTGCTACTGTCACTGCTGCTGCTGCTACTACTGCTTTGGCTGCTGCTCGTGCTGCCACATCAGCTGCTGCGGCGGCTTCGTTGTCCTTACGCTCCTGAGACACCTCACGTGCGATTTCTACCAAAATGGTTTCGACACTTCCGGTGCTGGAGACCTCCTCTTAGGCGGCAGTTTTCTGGCACGAATCCTCTCACGCCTGTCGGAACTTGGCAACTTCTGCACGCAGTTGCTCGTTGTCCTTTAGCAATATAGCCATGCGTGTGTTCATTTGGCGAATGTTGAACTACTCCCGAAGCTCGTTGAACTGAGCTTGGTCCATTTGGCGAATGCTCCGCCGGGGCAGGGGGAAATCCATAGTGTGCCTGTACTCAGGTAAGCGCAAACGCTATCGTAGTTGGGCGAATTAATCAGTCTAATTCGCGGGCAATCGCTTTGCAGCTTATGTAAGGGTTTTACCCCCCCCCCCCCCCCCCCCCCCCCCCCCCCCCCCCCCCCCAAAAAAAATCAACTCACGAAAACGGGTGAGCGAGGAAAGTGGCTCTGAAAACCAGGTGTTATGAATGAACAAGCAGAGTAGCGCGGAAATGAATAACGAAGTGTTCAATCAGTGAATGACGATACAAGGAATGGCAAGCCAAGATATAGGAACACCAGAGCTAGTCTAACCATGAGATGTGAAGGTTCGGGAAAGAGATCAAAGGGTCTCGAAGCGAGGCCCGGAGAACTCCCAAAGGTTGAACTAGAAGGTCTGGAGAAGCCGAGTCGGTTCCTGTCAGAAAGGTCCAGAACTGTCCCGAGGCTTTGGGTGTATTCGAGCGTACGCGATAGCAGTACCGCTCGGTAAGGAATGGAAAATGAGTACGTAGGACAACGGTCAGTAGTAGCTGAGCATGCGGATGGTCGAGGTTCGATTCTTGCGCGACCATCTTTTACCTTGTACAGGTATGCTGCTACATGGCTGTTATGAATTATAACTTAGAGTATATCGCAGAATACTATAGTGGAACGTGATTACAGAATGTGTCCTATCCAAATGAGACATAGGGCTTATATAGTGCGAGTTGACTAGGGTGAATGTTGAGGGTTGGGCCAGTCAAGGGCTCGGCTGTCCCGAGGGTGACGGGGTCAATTGGGTTCGGGGCGACTCGGGATGAGGTTGGGGCCGAATAGGTCGGCGGGGGCTGGTTTGGCGCGAGAACCAAGGGCCGAGCCTGCGGATGCGAAATGTTCGCGTGTACTCGCTTTGGCAAGCCCCAGTAAGGAATCGTAATTCCTTACACTCTCACACCTTCTAAAGGAAGGCACTCCCTTTATCGAGGCTAAACAGTCATTAAAAGTAATCCCCGATTGTAACTGTAAGTCTTCAGCCCTGTGACGAGTGTAATGATTACGCCGGCATGACGAGGTCTTGAAGGTCGAACAGAAATCAAGGGCCAGAAAGCGTCGAAACGATCGTGGTAGATCGTGATCGTTGAATCTTGATGGGCGCAATGATGACGAGACTTCATGAGGTAAAACTCCATCCAACGGCTGAGGCACGTCGCAACGATCGTAATTGATCAGATTCATTGAAGATTATCAACTCCTTCAGCTGACCGATGGGCAAGGGTAAATTCTCCAGCGAAAGACTGTGAACAGTGAAACTGTCGAGTGGTCGATTGATGATGACGCGTGCATCATGAATATCCCGAGTAATGATGAACTGTCGAATGGCGTGGATTGTCGGATGGCGAGGAGCTGTTCATCAAATCCACGAGGTCGTTCGTATCACATGCGAGATCACACGTCCGTGTCCCACGAAAGTCTGCGAACTCCATCAACGAAGTGACGAAATCAAGCACGGAAGCGTAACGGTGATGAATGTCGGTCAAAGATGGATGATGGAAACACGCCGAAGGGTCGGACGGAAAATTGCAGCACAGCTGCACTTCTCACCCCTCCAAGAAGAAATGGCTCCCAATTTCCGAGGTAAAACTGCAGGAAATCCAAGGCTCTATGGTAGTCAAAAGAATCCCATGCTACTGAAGAAAAGTCGCATACTCAGCTTAGAAGATGCCGCTGCAAAACTTCAACCATGAGAAATCCCAAATACTCTCAAAAGTTTAAATTCCTCAGCAGGGTAAAACACTCCAAGAGGCGTGAAAATTAGAAGGAACTGCTCCGGAAGACTCCCAGGCGAACTGAAAATTTTGCACGAGTAGGAACACTGCTTGCGAGCTGGTCCCAACTCAGCTCCAACAGTACTGTGGCAAAATCGTCTCGCTTCGATACTGTTGCTGTCGATTCGGATGGCGAGGCGGGGTCGTGTTCACACAACCAGGCGAATTGAGAATGGAGGTGGTAGCGGGTGGTGGCGAGGTGAAGACGACGATGGCGAGGACCTGTAACCTGTTCTGAACTGCTCCATAGAAAACACCTCGAACAGAAACCCTGGGTCGAATGACGCCAGCTGCATCAGCTCCTTTGTCCGTACATGCCGAAATTTTCATGAAAAGACGAAACAGCTGCTGCGCTTCTCCCTTCCATACAACCAAAACACTCCGCAAATGTCGGTCGATGGCGCTCGTACCCCTGAAGATAGCGGGCACAACTCCAGCTGTAAACTCGTGAACTGCTTCTCAAACCCACCGAAAATGTCGGAACCGCTCGGTACTTAGGAAACACCATAACTCTGCTTCACAACTACCCATAGAAATGCCCAGGCGTGACGACGTCCTTTAGCAGCGCCCCCACGGTTGCTCCACCAGCTGTACGCATGAACAAAACCCTTTATACTAGGGTTTAACGGAGTCCACCACCTCGGCATGATGTTTTGGCTGTCGATCAGAGTCAATGCGCATCATACGCCGTAGATCGTCGCCCAGATGTTACCCAACTTTAAAATACTCTAGTACCTCTGCCAGCTGGTTGCACATACATTCACCCATCTCGCGGCTGCTGCAGGTTACCCAACACCGCTTCGCGGCTGCTACAGAATGTGTCGATAGAAATGAGGCGTAGGGCTTATATAGTGCGAGTTGACCAGGGTGAATGTCGAGGGTTGGACCAGTCAAGGGCTCGGCAGTCCCGAGGATGACGGGGTCAAATTGGGTTCGGGACGACTCGGGATGAGGTTGGGGCCGAATAGGTCGGCGGGGGCTGGTTTGACGCGAGAACCAAGGGTCGAGCCTGCGGGCACGAACTGTTCCCGTGTACTCGCTGTGGCAAGCTCCAGTAAGGAATCGTAATTCCTTATAATGGTGATCTGATTAACTAAATGAATGCATTGCACAACAAAGTAGTGCATATTAAAAACTCAGGTAAAAGCGCGAGCAACACGTTTTTG